GGTGCAGCTCACAGAAGGTGAGCCAAAGCAGGGTGGAGCATCACCTCACCTGGAAAGCACAAGGGGTTGAGTAAATCCCTCTTCTAGCCAAGGGAAGCCACAAGGGACTGTGTCTTGAGGAACATTGCATTCTGGCCTAGATACTATGCTTTTTCCACAGTATTCACAACCCATAGACCAGGAGATTCCCTAGGTGCCTATACCGCCAGGGCCCTAGGTTTCAAGCACAAAACTGAGTAGCCATTTGGGCAAACACAAAGCTAGCTGCAGGAGATTTTTTTTCATACCCCAGTGGTGCTTGGAATGCCAGTGAGACAGAACCATTCCCTCCCCTGGAAAAGGGGCTGAAGACAGGGAACCAAGTGGTCTAGCTCAGCAGATCCCACCCCTATAGAGCCCAGCAAGCTAAGATCCACTGTCTTGAAATTCTTGCTGCCAGCACAGCAGTCTGAAGTTGACCTGGGATGCTCAAGCTTGATGGGGGGAGGGATGTAGCCATTACTGAGGCTTGAGTAGGTGGTTTTCCCCTCACAGTGTAAACAAAGTCACCAGGAAGTTTGAAATGGGCAGAGCCCACCACAGCACTGCAAAGCTGCTGTAGCAAGGCTGCCTCTCTAGATTCCTTCTCTCTGGGCAGGGCATCTCTGAAAGGCAGAAGTCCCAGTCAGGAGCTTATAGATAAAACTCCCAACTCCCTGGGAGTTGGAAGCACCTGGGGGAAGTGGCAGTTTTGGGCACAGCTTCACAGACTTAAATGTTCCTGCCTGCCAGTTCTGAAGAGAGCAGAGGATCTCCCAGCATATTGCTCGAGTTCTGCTAATGGACAGACTGCCTCCTCAAATGGGTCCCTGACCCCTGTGCCTCCTGACTGGGAGATACCTCCCAGCAGGTGTCAACAGACACCTACCTACCTACAGGAGAGCTCTGGCTGGTATCTGTTGGGTGGCCCTCGGACAAAGTTTTCAGAGGAAGGAACAGGCAGCAATCTTTGCTGTTCTGCAGGCTCTGTTGGTGATACCCAAGCACAAAAGGTCTGGAATGGACCTCCAGCAAACTTGAGCAGACCTGTAGCAGAGGGGCCTGTTAGAAGGAAAACTAACAAACAGAAAGGAATAACATCAACATCAACAAAACAGATATCCACACATAAACCACATTAGAAGGTCATCACATCAAAGACCAAAGGTAGATAAATCTGGGAAGATGAGAAAAAATCAGAGCAAAAAGGCTGAAAATTCCAAAAACCAGCATGCCTCTTCTCCTCCAAAAATTCACAACTCCTTGTCAGCAAGGGAACAAAACTGGGTGGAGAATGAGTTTGATGAACTGACAGGAGTAGGCTTCAGAAGGTGGGTAATAACAAACTCTTCCAAGCTAAGGGAGCATGTTCTAACCCAATGCAAGGAACCTAAGAACTTTGAAGAAAGGTCAGATGAATTGCTCATTAGAATAAACAGCTTAGAGGAGGACATATATGGCCTGACACAACTGAAAAACACAGCATGAGAACTTCTTGAAGCATACACAATTATCAATTGCTGAATCAATCAAGTGGAAGAGTGGAAGAAAGGATATCAGACATTGAAGATCAACTTAAGGAAATAAAGCATGAAGACAAGATTAGAGATAAAGAATGAAAAGGAACAAACAAAGCCTCCAGGAAATATGGGACTATGTGAAAAGACCAAACCTACATTTGATTGGTGTACCTGAAAGTGACGGGGAGAATGGAGCCAAGTTGAAAAACACTCTTCAGGATATTATCCAGGAGAACATCCCCAAACTAGCCAGACAGGCCAACATTCAAATTCAGGAAATACAGAGAACACCAGCAAGATACTCCTCAAGAAAAGCAACCCCAAGACACATAATCATCAGATTCTCCAAGGGTGAAATGAAGGAAAAAACGTTAAGGGAAGATGGAGAGAAAGGTCGGGTTACTCACAAAGGAAAGCCCATCAGACTCACAGCAGATCTCTTGGCAGAAACTCTACAAGCCAGAAGAGAGTAGGGGCCAATATTCAACATTCTTAAAGAAACTTATTTTCAACGCAGAAATTAATATCTAGCCAAACTAAGCTTTGTGAGTGAAGCAGAAATAAAATTATTTACTGACAAGCAAATGCTGAGAGATTTTGTCACCACCAGGCCTGCTTTACAAGAACTCCTGAAGGAAACACTAAATATGGAAAGGAAAAACCAGTACCAGCCACTGCAAAAACATACCAAATTGTAAAGACCATCAACACTATGAAGAAACTGCATCAACTAGCGGGCAATATAACCAGCTAACATCATAATGACAGGATCAAATCTACATATAACAATATTAACCTTAAATGTAAATGGTATACATGCACCAATTAAAAGACACAGACTGGAAAATTGGATAGAGTCAAGACCAATAGGTGTGCTGTATTCAGGAGACCCATCTCACATGCAAAGACACACACAGGCTCAAAATAAAGGGATGCAGGAATATTTACCAAATAAATGTAAAACAAAGAAAAAAAGCAGGGGTTGTAATCCTAGTGTCTGATAAAACAAACATTAAACCAACAGAGATCAAAAAAGACAAAGAAGGGCATTATTACATAATGATAAAGGGATCAACGCAAGACGAAGAGCTAACTATCCTAAATATATATGCACCCAGTACAGAAGCACCCAGATTCGAAGTAAGTTCTTAGATACCTACAAAGAGACTTAGACTCCCACACAATAAAAGTGGGAGACTTTAAAACCCCACTGTCAATATTAGATCAACAAGACAGCAAATTAACAAGAATATTCAGGACTTGAACTCAGCTCTGGACCAAGTGGACCTAATAGATATCTACAGAACTCTTCACCCCAAATCAACAGAATACACATTTTTCTCAGTACCACATTGCACTTATTCTAAAATTGACCACATAATTGGAAGTGAAACACTCCTCAGAAAATGCAAAAGAACAGAAATAATACAGTCTCTCAGACCACAGTGCAATCAAATTAGAACTCAAGATAAATAACATAGTACCTCATATAGATGTCTGGGGGTGGAGTGGATGAGCAGTTTCAAATAACTGCTAAAATCATGCAGGAAGACAATTCTTTCTAAGGCACAGGTTCTCAACCTTGATAAATCTTATTTATCATAAGACATTTAAAAAATATTGATGCATGGAGGCCACCATGTGATTCTGTCAGGGGCGTTTGAACTAGAGCAACTCCATCTTGAACAGGGGCTGGGTAAAATAAGGCTGAGACATATTGGGCTGCGTTCCCAGGAGGTTAGGCATTCAAGTCACAGGTTGGAGGTTGGCACAAGATACAGGTCGCAAAGACCTCCTGATAAAACAGGATGGGGTAAAGAATCTGACGTAAACCCACCAAAACCAAGATGATGATGGAAGTGACCTCTGGTCATCCTTATTGCTCATTAAATGCTAATTATAATTCATTGGCATGCTAAAAGACACTCCTACCAGTGCCAATATAAGGAAGTCACCCTATATGGTCTAAAAAGAAGGAGGAACCCTAAATTCTGGGACTTGCCCACCCCTTTCCCAGAAAACTTATGAATGATCTACCCCTTGTTTAGCATGTAAGCAAGAAATAGCCATAAAAATAGCCAATGAGTAGCTCATGCTGCTGCTCTGCCTATGGAGTAGCCATTCCTTTGTTTCTTTACTTCTCTAATAAACTTGCTTTCACTTTATGAATTCACCTTGAATTCTTTCTTGTGCAAGATCCAAGAACCCTCCCTTGGGCTCTGGATTGGGACCCCTTTCCGGTAACATCTTCCAACATGCAGTTAAGGTTGGAAAACTTTGCTCTTAGTTTGTCCGCACAGTAATAGCACTATTCTTATGTAATTGCTTTGCTATTACACCTAAGTGACTTCAAATAAAGTGAGGTTTGGGGCATCAGGTAGGTGTGAGGAATTAAGGATAGCACAGGTAAGACAACTCTCCATGTTATTAGGAATGAGATGACTCTAACAGTAACAATAATTACCATAATTTCAGGATAGATTTCTGGATTCATGCAGAAACATTGTAAGTCTTGCTAGAGAGAAATCTGCCTTTAGAGCATTGGCCAACAATCTTTCCCCTCTTGCTGAGGTGGGAGTTTAGCTGGTACCCACTTAATGCCAACTGGATTGAAGCCAATAAGAAAAACAGCTGTGTTTAAATCCAGTTTCACATGCAAGAGTCTCCAAGTTGTAAACTAAGCTATTACCTTCATGGTAGCTATTTTTGAAAATGTACACAGTTGATAGTTTAGCAATAAATAATACAACACATTTACTTAAGAGCAGATATGACACTTCAATCCTAATCTGTGAAAGCTCCCAACCAGGAGAACATGTATAAATTCTCATATACTACAGAAGTATTCAATTTGTAGAACTGCAAAAAAACTAGCATATGACATTCAAATTAATTCAATTTAAAATGATTCTAGATCAAGAGCACTAATTTTCAGTTACATTCTAGAGCTAAGCCTGCAGTAGAAAATTATTATATAATCTTTAATAAACTCTAAATAGAAACTAATTGAAACTTCTTTACTTAACTACTGTCAACCTGCCAAGTGTGGAAATGGCAGCATGCTACTATATTTAGCAGCTCTCTCCTGGTCAGTCAGATCAGAGTGACTCAGTGAAGAACCCACAGAAATTAGTTTTGTATGGTTTGATAAAAGCAAAACAGCTTTCTACACTAATGACAAATTAGTGATAATTTTATAATGCATAATTTATAATTTCTTTGCAGGAATCATAAGTCAGACAATACAAATTCTTTGCTATTTAAATGCTCACTTGAAAACTTAAATTTTCTCCTGATCCTTTCTAACTCCAAAACTAGGCTAATTTGGAATATCAGCAACATTTTACAAAATGTGATTTAGTTAATCACATGTTCCTTAAGATTTTTATGACAAATCTTTAGCAAGAATATAACCCCTTAGCAAAACAAATATACCTCTCTTACCAAAACAAACAAACTTACCTCTTGGGAAGAAATGATTAAAAATTACTGTCTCCATCAAATAGGAAGAACTACATAAGGCTTCAGTTCTGGAGACAAGGACTGGAGACTTGTTCAAACTAACCCAAGAGTCAAATGGCTGTCCCTAATCTTTAAAGGGAAACCAGAAAACTCTGCACTACTGTGTACTGCTTCCGGGTGCCTCCCTTTGTTCTAAGTAGAATGCTAATGCTAAAATTGCAGTTTGCATTCCTGCTTACTCAGAACACTGATGCAGTCTGACAAAGCTTCCAGCTTAAATATCCTGATTGGGGGAAATAGTCCCAGAAGGTGGTATTTCCCTTGTGGGCTAGTAAAACAAGCAACACGAATGTGTAAATCTGAACAGCTGGAAGTTTGTGATCACATTAATGTTACCTGATCTAATTTGTAACATATATTAGAGACATTGAGGAAAGAAATGTTTCACTTCTTGTGAATGTCCATTAAGGAAGTCAAGAGTGTGTCTGAATGTTTTCACCTCTTACTTTTCCTTAGTGTGCAAAATTTTCATTGGTGTACATGAAAACAGCTAGTATAAAAAGAGAAGGAAATTCCTTAGGGCAGTGAAATATAGATTAAAACTAGTATAATGGGATGAAAAATATGAAAAAGTGATTGTACAAAGGAAATATAAAGCAGGGATTGCTATGTAAACTCAAATTTTTAAAAACAAATTTAAGGTGTTTTATGTGCTATCTCATCCTTTCTCCTAGGGTCAAATGATGAAGTTTATTTTCTTCTTTTTATATATGATAATTGGATAACAGAATACATAATTCAATAACTGGGAAAAAAGTATTCTGGAGCAAGTGATCAAGTGATCACACATTTAATTTACTATAAGACTCTAGATATTTACTGATATATACAAGATTGGAAAGCATATCAATAATATGTCAGTCACTTCATGATATGGTTTGGCTGTGTCCCCACCTGAACCTGATCTTGAATTGTAGTTCCCATAAACTCCACATGTCATGGGAGGGACCTGGTGGGAAGTAATTGAATCATGGTGTATGTTACCTCCATGTTGTTTTTGTGATATTGAGTGAGTTCTCAGGAGATCTGATGGTTTTATATGGGGATTTTCCCCTTTTTGCTTGGCACTTCTTACTGCTGCCATGTGAAGAAGGACATGTTTGCTTCCCCTTCCACCATGATTATAAGTTTCCTGAGGTTTCCCCAGCCATGTGAAACTGTGGGTTAATTAAACTTGTTTCCTTTATAAATTACTCAGTGTCAGGTATGTCTTTATTAACAGCATGAGAATGAACTAATACAGTAAATTGGTACCAGGAGGGGGTGCTGCTATAAGGATACCTGAAAATGTGGTAGCAACTTTGGAAATAGGTAGCAGGCAGAGGATAAAACAGTTTGGAGGGTTCAGAAGAAGACAGGCCTGGGAAAGTTTGAAACTTCCTAGAGACTTGTTGAATGGCTTTGGCAAAATGCTGATGGTGATATAAACAATTAAATAAGGCTGAGAGGGTTTCCAATGGGGATGAGGAACTTGTTGGGACCTAGAGTAAAGGTCACTCTTGCTGTTTTAGCAAAGAGACTGGTAGCATTTTGTTTCTGCCCTAGAGATCTGTGAAACTTTGAACTTGAGAGAGATGATTTAGGATATCTAGTGGAAGAAATTTCTAAGTGGCACGTTCAAGGGAAAGCAGAACATGAAAGTTTGGAAAATTAGCAGCCTAATGATGCAATAGAAAAGAAAAACCCATTTTCTGGGGAAGTATTCAACCCAGCTGCAGAAATTTCACAAGTAACAAGGAGCCCAATGTTAATCACCAAGACAATGGGGAAAATGTCAGAGATCTTTGTAGCAGTCCCTTCCAACACAGACACAGAGGCCTAGTAGGAAAAAATGGTTTAGCGTGCCAGGCCCAGGCCCCTCTGCTGTGCGCAGCCTTGGGACATGGTACCCTGCATCCCATCTGTTCTAGTCATGGCTAAAAGGGGCCAAAGTACAGCTCTGGCCTTGACTTCAGAAGATGCAAGCCCCAGCCCTTGGCAGTTTCCATGTGGTGTTGAGCCTGTGGGTGCACAGAAGTCAACAATTGACATTTGGGAAACTCCATGTAGATTTCAGAGGATATTTGGAGTCACCTAGATGTCCAGGAAGAAGTTTGCTGCTGGGCAGAACATGGAAAACCTCTGTTAGGGCAGTGTGGAAGGGAAATGTGGGCTTGGGGGCACTACGTAGTAGAGCTATGAGAAGAGGGCCACTGTACTCCAGATCCCAGAATTGTAGATCCACTGACAGCTTGTACTGTGTGCCTGGAAAAGCCACAGACAACACCAGCCTATGAAAGCAGCTAGGAGGGAGCTGTCCCATGCAAAGCCACAGAGGCAGAGCCGCCCAGGGTCATGGGAGATTACCTCTTGCATCAACATGACCTGGATGTGAGACATGAAGTCAAAGGGAGAACATTCTGTAACTTTAAGGTTTAATGACTGCCATATTGGATTTCAGGCTTGCATGAGGCCTGTAACCCCTTTGTTTTGGGCAATTTCTCCCATTTGGAATGGGTCTATTTGCCTAATACCTGTACCCTCATTGTATCTGGGAAGTAACTAACTTGCTTTTGATTTTGCAGGCTCATAGGCAGAAGGGACTTGCCTTGTCTTAGTTGAGACTTCGGACTTGGACTTTTGGGTTAACGCTGGAGTGAGTAAAGACTAGGGGACTGTTGGAAAGGCATGATTATGTTTTGAGATGTGAGGACATGAGACTTGGGTGGGGTCAGGGGCAGAATGATAGGGTTTGGCTCTGTGTCCCCCACTCAAATCCTATCTTGAATTGTAGTTCCCATAATCTCAACATGTCGTGGGAGTTACATGGTAGGAGGTAATTGAATCATGGAGCCGGTTATCTCCACACTGTTCTCATGATAGTGAGAGTGTTCTCACGAGATCTGATGATTTTTAAAAGATCTTTCCTGGCTTTTGCTCTGCACCACTGCTTGCTGCTACCATGTGAAGAAGGATGTGTTTGCTTCCTCTTCCACCATGATTATAAGTTTCCTGATGCCTCCTCAGCCATGCGGAACTGTGAGTCAATTAAACCTCTTTCCTTTATAAATTACCCAGGCTCAGATATGTTTTTATTAGTAGTGTGAGAACAGACTATTACACCTCACCTAATGCATTACTTTGTTATTATTTCGGCAAGGAAAATCAGATTGTCTTTGGTCTTTTCCAATAAGAAAAATAAGTGTTTAGATATTGTCAGTATGTGGAATGTTTTCAGCACTATTGAGCTTAATTAACTTTCATTTTTAAGTTTCTAGCTGTATGTCAGGATGCAAATTTGTGAATGACAAGAATTTTGTGTAATTAACTTAGCTAAGCTACTAAATCTGTTCTTTTTGTACTTCTTTATGGAAAGTGAAGTTCAAGATGATTGGTAAGTTTTCTAGACAAACCTCAGTGATGATTGGTGGTGACAACTAAACAATAGATGCTGAATTTAAAAGCTTTGGTTCCAAAAATGTGGCATAAAGATAAGAAATACCAGACTGGGAAATACTGTGAGGAAATTATATAATGGACTAATTAAACATCTATACATAATTTTAATATAATTGTATAAAACATTATCGATCTAGCTCAGGGTGTTGTTGGAAACTGAAAAATAAGCCTCTGTCTGGAACATTGTTTCAAAAGTCTTTGGCTGAACCTCATGACACAGCTACTTCACTTCAAAAAGAAGGAGGAGAAAACACTCTAGCTGCTAGAGAAGAATCACTGTAGTCCCCACAAAACATTTCCAACTTAGCGCAGAGGGTAGAGAGGACTATCTATTCTTTTCCAACTCCGTCATTTTTCTTCCTCTGCTTTCTACATAAACCCAAAAGATGGCTCTGGCTCTGGGATTTTATGCTTTTCCCCATGAATAAAGTTTCCTTTTTCCTGTTATGAAGAGGGAGGAAAGCGACTTCTTTACTGTTAATTAGAAAAGCAAGGTTGCCTAGGTAACAGATCTTCCATAAACAGGTCAAGAGAAAGATTTCTAAAGAGCTAAAATTTACATGATGCCATGAAAATTACAAAAGCTCTTAAATGCTCAAGGATAGGTTGGAGTTTTGGCATAGTAATGGTTAAAAACTCAGAATTAGATAGACTGAGTTTTAATCTGAATTTCTAATTACCAACTGGGTAATTAGAAAAACAGTCTTTTAAATTAAGACAGTCTCTTAACTTTCCTCATTTCAGAAGAGGAAATTATAATAATTGTAGTGAGCAATAAGTGAACTGTCTTGTGTAAAACATTTAAAAAATACCTAACATTTAATATACATTAAAACATGATAGACTTATTTTTACTTTCATAATTTAATGCATGGAGGAAAACAGCTATAACATGATAATAATTGGACAGTGCATACCCCTTCTAAAGTGGGTAGCTGTAAATCAACACCATCTGATTGGTGAATTCTAGCTCTTTTTGCACTTATGCATTCACTATTGTTCTAAATCATTTAACAAATTTTTTTTTGTGCACTCATTATGAGTTGGGAACTGTGTTACATACTTGAGGTAAATCTGTAAAAACTTCAAACAAGTCCAGTCTCAATGACCTTAAATCCCAGTAATATACACTGCTTTGTGTCGTTATTATATTTTTATGCAAATGCAATAATTATATTTAAGGTTTCTCAGGGACAAGGGCCATATATAAAAAATTTTCATAATCCTCACAATTAAATGCATCAAGTATTTCTTGACAATCTGTTGTGGATCATAAATATTCTACAACTATATAAATGTTAATACAAATAATGGCCCATCATTTGAAGAGCCATAATTTTTTCTTATTTAAAATTATACGAAAAATGGTCAAAGTATCTACTGTAATAAAAGTCAAAGAGAGAAAGCAATATTATGGAACTAAAAAATATAAAGAATTTTTAGAAAACAAATATAAATTGACAACTATTAAATATTAAATATTATTAATTTAATAAATAAAGGAATTGTAGGAGGTAAATGATAAAAATTTCCAAGCTGTACTTCAAATAGGTTAAAAACAAATATTTGCAAATTCATCCTACAAGCATATCACTCAGATATACAAACTAATAAGGTCTGCAAGTTCTCTTTCTATGCTGATTATAAAAATTAACCATACATGATTTTTAAAGTCAATATTTGTCTTCTTGTAAGTCATTAACTTGAAGAAATGCCAGTTGTTCTTTTTCCTTTCTGTACCTAATTCTGTAGTGAGGTCACTGAGGAAGAGCTTGTTTCAGCACCATGGACAAAGCACCCCCAACAACCTTACTCTTGGGGGCTACAGCAAATGTTCCCCTTGGTTAAAATTTAAAAATAACTTTATAGTATCCACCTTTCATTTTAACATATCTTAAGAACAAAATGGATACTAAAGAATGTTCATACAGATAATATAAAGTTTACACCTTCAAACCCCTTCTCTCTTATGGAAAAATATAATGGCCCTTTAAAAGACATGCATCAATGTGATGAATGCATTAAAGTGTCATTAGGTTTAATGGCTCCCACTCACTTAGACTATCATTCCATACCTTTTAAAGTTAATTTGATGTGTATTAATGGTGTGAAATTGATGAAATTATGAATTGAATTTCCCTGGGCACAGGTTAAATCAAGGAAGAAGGAAGATAACTAGTTAATATTACCCTCTACCCATTCTTCATTTATACTACAAAAGATGTCAGCTCTGCCCTTGGGAAGAAAACTCTCACAGTCAGTAAGTTGAACCCTAATTGATTTTTAAGGTTTTAAGTCAGGAAACTGTCATTAGTTGGGTCACCGAAGGTTCACAGTTTTCTTTAGGGAATAAGGAAATATGTACTCTTCTGAGGTTAAATTCATATTTCATTCCTTATTTTCAGAGAAATAGATAACTTCTTACTTCTTTCTCTTTCTGTATTCAACTTGCACATTTTAACTTAGAAGTTCATTCGGAATATTCTTATTTTGTAATCTCTCTCACATCCTACCATTTTCACATAAAATGATGTTTGGTTAATTTAAAAGCTGAGTTAAATATTAGGATAATAAATACCCTTACAATTAATGCAAAAAATGGAAAAATCTAGGGTTCTGGTCCCAAGAACATTTGATATGG